GAGTACTATACTGCCTTCCTGAGTACTGCACTGTCCTCCCGAGTACTATACTGCCTTCCTGAGTACTGCACTGTCCTCCTGAGTACTATACTGCTTTCCTGAGTACGCACTGCCATCCTGAGTATGCCCTGCTGTCCTGAGTACTGCACTGCCTTCCTGAGTACTGCACTGTCCTCCCGAGTACTCTACTGCCTTCCCGAGCACGTACTCTCTTCCTGAATACTGCAGTGGACTGAAAGAAGGTTTCCACAACCACGTCCTGGCCGGCACTGAGTGAAACATGTTAGGCAGGAAAAAAGGAGAGGCCCAGAAGTTTGAACTTGTCATCTGATCCCTTTATGCCCCTGCTCCCATCCCGCTGTCATTGTGGGCAAATTTCGGGATGTCCTGGCGAAACACCAGGGACTCTTTCAGTAGAAACCGGAGTTGCCGTAATAGGAAAATCTGACTGCTCCTCACTGACAGGTTGTTACTTTAAAGCAATGTCTTTTGGAATTTTTCCTATGCATTCTTCTGAGATTATAGTGACTCACAGGAGAAGGTGAAAAGCTGTTAATTCCAGATCCTGGGGTTAATTAGCTCCCTTAGATCACGCGCCTGTAGGAAAGTATAACAGGTACGGTGAGAGACACTTACGTTCAGTTTCCTCTTAACAAGTTCTTAAATCAGGAGATATTTTAATTGCAGCAGATGCAAGGCGGTACAGGAAAAGAGACATTTTGCTAGCAGAATTCAACCCCAGCTTCTGTCTACTGGGAGCTGAGACGGGAAGATTTTCGAGTCGGATGCAGGATCTCCCATGAACGACACGGGAAAGGTGCCCCTGGCTGACACGTGGAAAGCAGTCCGGCGGATTGTCCCCCTAAAGTTCATCGTGCTGTCTCCCCACTCTCTCTCAGCCCCAGGACAGAAAAGAGGACCACTTCTCTATGGGGAGTCCTCGGGTCCCTGTGTCCGTAACAGAGTCAGGCACGTTGGTCAGGCAGGGGAGGTGACAGAGGCCTCCCGTGTATCCATATCGATGACGACATGGCCGTGCGCCCTCCCTGCCCCCCATCCTGTCCCACCTCAGGCCTGCACCTCCCAGACGCCAGCTGTCACACAGGATGCCGTAGCCTCTCTCTCTCCCGCCTCCTTGGCCGGCTGGAGCTGCAGGCTCATGGCCTGCAGAGTTTCCTTCACCATCTGGAGCTCCCTCCTGAGAGACTGTGCACGCACGGTTAAGGAACACACGCGAAGGTGAAGGGCGGACCTCGGCAGCCTCCAAGGGAGCTAATAAGAGCACGTGCACCCGCGGGAAGCAGATG